CTCACGGCAAGAAAGAATGTGACAATGAATATATGCATGTTCATGTATGACTGAAAAATTGTGCTCTACACCAGAAATTGACACAACATTGTAAAGTGACTATAACTCAATAAAATAAAATAAAATAAAATAAAATAAAAACCTTACTAAAATATTAAAGGACATTTCAAATGAAACAAAATTCATACATAATCTTACCGCACTGGTGAACGGATTTCTCCCATTTTCGTCTTTCTGGTTCCCTTCTGGTTTCGATCAACATGCAGATCCAGTTTCACATTGTAATTATAGTGTGTAGTTATATATAGTACATTGAAAATGAAATATTTCTCCTCCCCCGCCACTTACATTACACTTCCATGGCATGAACTTGTTGTCATAGTCTTGTTATCTTTGTGATTACCAATTTAAATGAGCCGGTGGAACTGATTCATGGGTCCTGCGGTTGGAAATCTAGGTTGTTTCCAGTTTTGTGTTTGTTATAAGCAAAGCTCCGGCGAGCAGTTATTTTCACTCAGGAAATCTGCAGGGATGGCTCACTGGGTCAGAGGTGGCACTTGGACATCTGTGCTTCCAAATTGCTCTCCCCCACATCTGTGCACATGGTGTAGATGTCTGGATCCGGTTCCCCACAACTTGTTTTATCGTTTTCCTCTAAATATGAATTTAAAGAGACTGGAAACAAATTACTTCGTATGGGAAAATGTGAGGACAAGATTGAAATGCATGCAGGACAAAAAGCCTATGATGTCGGCTTGCCAGCGCCTTGTGTCCCACACTTTGTGCTGGGGAGCACCCTCCCCTCCCCTGCCCCTGCCCCACTCTTCTTAATCTCTTAGATGGAGCTCGAATCACCTCCTCCCTCCACAGGGGCATCTCTGTGTGCTTCGGGAAACCTTGATGCCTCTCATATGGGCCGTTGGCTCAGGGATCCACGTGCTGGGTGGGGTTACCCCAGTCTGGTGACTTAGAACCAGCCAGGGCTCCCAGGAACATCAATGGCCCCTGGAAAACTGGGAGAGTGGCTGGGGCTGGATACAAGTCAGAAGGAAGGGTATCAGGCGGTTTGGATTCAGACGGGGATGCTGGAAGTATGTCTGCAGAAACCCGATGCCCCAGAACCACATCAGGGGGCTGATATGCCACCTCCATCACAATCTGGAAAGAGACCAAGATGAGATTCATCCACACATACGTGCTGGGGAAGGCGGAGGCTGCAGACACAAGAGGGTGCCTGTGTATTAGTCAGCTCCTGCTGCTGTAACAAATACCACTGGCAGGGGGGTTTAAACAACAGACCTTTATGCCCTCAGAATTCTGGAGGCTGGAAGTCCAAGGTCAAGGTGTTGGCAGGGCTGCTTTCTTCTGAAGCCTTTCTCCTTGGTGCGTAGACGGCCCTCTCTTCGCTGTGTTCTCCCATGGTCTTCCCTCCATATGTCTGTGTCTTCATCTCTTCTTAGAAGGACACTGGTCTTGTTGTATTAAAGTCCCACCCATATGACCTCTTTTAACCTTAACCACCTCTTTGAAGAACCTATCTCCAAATACCATTATGTTCTGAGGTCCTGAGGGTTAGGGCTTCCACATGGAAATTCAGGGGTCAGAGTTCAACTCATCACCAGCTGTAACTCTGGGACCTCAGTGCAGTTCTGAGCCCCCACCCCCTGAGGCAGGGACTCCACTGTCCGCAGGACCCACACAGCAGCCTCCCAGTACCCACTGGGTTTCACGGGTGGAGCGGTGGGTAGGGGTCTCCCCTATCTATACCCCTCCTTACTAGCCTCTGCTTTGACCTGCCAGCAGCCCCCTAAGCTCCCACACAAGGTCACTGCTCCTTCCTCCATCTGAAAAGGCTCATCATGGGTACGACTCTCCCAGGGGTTTCCTTTGGAGTTGGGACACGAGCCTCACCAAAGAGGTTTTCATCCAGATTCCTGGGAAAAGCCAGGGCTGCCCCTGCAGGCATCTTGGAGTCAGGCCCTGGGGCAGCCGGGAGCGTGACTGTTTGGGGCTCACACAGTGACTTCCAGAATGCTCCAGGGGGATGAAGGGTTAGCCTTCCCTTCTGTACCAACCTTGGCCTTGGCTGTGTTGGGGGAGCAATCTTGGACCAGAGATGCCCCAACGAGAGCCCCTCTGGGACTAAGCCACCACAGAAAGCTGCTCATAAGAGCCTTACTTCACTGTGTCCCCACCCAGCAGGGCCTGACCCTTGGTCTCCAGCCCACCTCTGCCCTGGACTCACTGTGATTTGGTTTATCCCTACATCCTCTGACTTCCCCTCACTGCTGACCTTCCACCACAGGGGTTTGCTCTCCATCTTGAAACTCCTTCCCCAAAGCACAACATTCAACACAGAGCAGCTTCTTAACAAATGTTTGTTGAAGGAATGATTGAATGGGAGAGGTTAGTAGCCAGGTACCCTTCAGGGTGTGCAATTATTCAGAAAGGAAGGGGTCGCAGAGAAAGAGAAAAGGACAAGTTGGCCAGGGCCAGCTTTTCATGGTAAGAAAATGACACTCACTGGCCTGGGACCCACCATCTGAGCTGCAGGCTGCCTGCTGCATCCAAGATTTAAATGAAACACTATTGTAAAATGTGCAGGTGAGACATCCAGATGGCCAACAAGCACATGAAAAGATGCTCTTCACCGCTAATTGTTAGAGAAACGCAAACCCAAACTACAATGAAGTATCACCTCACACCAGTCAGAATGGCCATCACTCAAAAGTCCACAAACCATAAATGCTGGAGAAGGTGTGGAGAAAAGGGAACCCTCCTACACTGCTGGTGGGATGTAAATTGGTGTAGCCAGTACAGAGGACAGTATGGAAGTCCCTTAAAAAACTGAAAATAAACTTACCATGTGATCCGGCCATCCCACTCCTGGGCATTTATCTGGAGAAAAATATAATTTAAAAAGACACCTGCACCCCAGTGTTCACAGCAGCACTATTTACAATAGCCAAGACATAGGGACAACCTAAATGTCCATTGACAGATGACTGGATAAAAATGATGCGGTATATATACACAATGGAATACTACTCAGCCATAAAAAAGGAATAAAATAATGCCATTTGTAGCAACATGAATGGAACTGCAGATGGTCATTCTAGGTGAAGTGAGCCAGAAAGGGAAGGGAGAATACTATGTGTAGAATCTAAAAAAGAAAAAAAAAGAGATACAAATGAACTTATTTACAGGGCAGAGACAGACACACAGACATAGAGAACAGACTCATGGTTGCCAGTGAGTAAAGGGAATAAGAAGAGATAAACTAGGAGTTTGAAATTTGCACTTCTAGGGGAGTGATGGAAATAGTAGGTATCTTGATTGTGGTGGTGGTTTCACTGGTGTGTACATCTATCAAAATTCATCAAATTGTACATCTGAAATATGTGTTTACTGTATAGAAATCATATCACAATAAAGTTGTTTCAAAAAACGTGCAGGTGAACTAAAATCAGCAGGAACCACTAACAAGAGAAAATAAACCAGGATTCGAAAAGACTTCTGGGTATGGGCAGAGGCTCTCAGTGGTTCATCTGCGCCCTCACAGTGGTTGTCAGAGCTTGGCTCTGAATGCTGACAAGACTTGAACGCAGCACAGGGGTAGGAATAGTTTGATTTCACCAAATTCAGGCATTGTAGAATTGGGTGTGATTTTTCCTTTTCTTTAAAATTTCCGTAACTGTTTGCCTACATATTCACTCTGCAAATACTAACAAAAGAAGGCTATTTTACAAAGGGCAAGCCTGGAGAAGCCAGCTTGACGGTGGCTCAGGAGCCAGAGGTTTGGAGTGGATGTGCCTGGACCAACAATGTTCTGCCAAAGAAGCAGGCTCACGGAGGGGAGGGTGTAGCTCAGTGGTAGAGTTCCTGCCCAGCATGCATGAGGTCCTGGGTTCAATTCCCAGTACCTCTATTAAATAAGTAAACCTAATAAAAATATAAAAAATAAAAGAAGTAGACTGGGCCTTATGGGTGTTCCATTACCTATGTATGGTGCATCTTCTTTATCCATTCATCTGTTGATGTACACTTAGGATGCTTCCATATCTTGGCAATTACAAATAACGTTGCTGTTAATAGCGAGGTGTTTGTATTTTTTGGATTAAATTCTTATTTTGTGGTTGGCTTTATTCCTTTGATAACTATGTAAGTTTAAAAAGCTAAAGCTCTAAACGTTCTTAGAAACAATGAACAGTACATCTATGTAAATTTTTTAAAATGTGCAGTATATTGTGTATATGTATTTACATGCAATACACTGTATATGTGCAGTCAAATTGTAACAGTTCTACCTCATAAAACTGAAAAATAAAAAAAGGTTAAAATGGCAAATTTTATATTCTGTGTATTTGACCACAATTAAAAACATTTTACAAAAAGAGCAAAAAGAAAGAGAGAGGAGCCCATGGGCCGTACTGCTCAGATCATGTATCCATGTTGGTTGGGGTGAGCTCCAAGGCCACATTTTAAATGACTTTAGTGATGGGTAAACTCTTCAAGAAGCTTGGTGAGGCTGGAGGAGGGTCTAGCACTTTGAAGTAACTAGGTTGGGAGTTTTCATCCGAAAATGGGACTGCGTGGGGGTAGGAGGGTGGAGAGGATGACCGGCCAAGGTAGTCCCAGACATGGAAGGACAAACAGAAAGGGGCTTCTGTGCTGGGGAGATGCGTGTAGCCCAAGAAAGTCTGATTTCAGCCCAGTAGAAACAAAACTTCCCATCATTTCAAGCTCTGAATCATGAGACAGTTGCTTTGTGGCACAATGACCCTTTCTTTTTTTTTTTTTACTGAGGGGAAGTAATTACATTATTTATTTTTAGAGGAGGTACCAGGGATTGAACCTAGCACCTCATGCATGCTAAGCATGCGCTCTACCACTTGAGCTATACCCTCCCCCTACAGTGACCCCCTTGATGTGTTCTAAATAAGACTTGGTGACCCTTTGCAAGGCTCACCCTGCTGGGAGAGTAGACCCCCTGCTCCCCACCTTGCCACAAGCAGTGCTAGGATTCCCTTAACGATCTCGGGGCTTTGGCGCCTCCCAGAGGCTGAAGAGTTGTTTTCACCACACCCTGTGCTTGTTTTTTTCTGACATCAATTCTCCCACACCAGGTGAGTGTCAAAGGATTCAATTCAGTACACTAACCTCCCGGAGTGAGCACAGAGCCTGCATGGGGAGGGCTCAGTCCCACAAGACTGCCCCTCCCTTGAGAATAGGGGCCGCAGGCTGCCCTCGCTTCTGCTTGGCTGATTGCAAATTCAGGGGCTCCCAGGACCTGTCCTTTCATGTTCTACACGTGGCCAGAAGGGCTCACTTTTAGGAAAGCACTGTACTTGCAGTTGTAAAGGAAACAAATGAAGAGAAACATAAGGCGAGGTCTGCAGCCTCTGCCCCACGTGACCACCCTCCCAACCTGGAAGCCCACACCAAATCATTGCCACAAAGTGAAGTCCAGCTCCAGCCCCCTGCCCAGGAGGTCGGTATGGGAGCTGACAGTTCCAGGTCTTTCTGGTGACTAGCCCCCCATCCTGAGGCGAAGTGAATGAAAACAGACACTCCCACCACTCAGGCCATTCCAAGGGTCTTAAGAGCTCTGTGCTGGAGCAGAAAGCAAACACCAGATATGCATTTTTAGTATATTACACTCTGGGTTCAGATCCACTGAGAGCACCTGGCTGTGGGCCAAGCGGATTGGGGCGGGTGGGTGGTCTCAGGAGAGTGGCTCATCCCTCTACTTGTCTCCCCAGGGTCCGCAGGCGGAAAGATCCCATTTCCCTCAGTTGAGAAATGAGGGTATTCACCCTGAGGTTGTGAAGATCAAATGAGGTGTGTGTCAAAGGGCTTTGGAAATGTCTGAAATAATGTCTGAATCTGCCTTGGGGCCAGTTCTGCACTTGGGGTCAAATACTGAGATTGGGTTTAACCGGGCAGATACGGAAGGAGGAGCCGCCAGGAGAATCATTCCATCAGCGCCTTTGATGAGAAGCATTCACTCATCCCACCAATGCCTTTGCGAGAATCATTCACTCATCCCACCAACGCCTTTGACCTCCCACTGAACAGGGTCTTTTGTTTGGTCAGGAATGTTTACCCACCGCCTGATGAGTGTGGCCGTCTGGAACGGTTCTTGACTTTCGGAATGGGAGTTCGGAGGGAGCAGAACACCTGCAGATGTCTGTTGTTATTTTCAGTTGCAGATTCTCCCAGGGTATTTGCATAAGAGCCCTCCACCCTCTCGCCAGAGCTGCGCTGTACAGCTGAATCCAGTGCGGGATGAGCAGGAAAAAAACCACCAGAAACCTGGAGGTCAGCAGAGCGCTCCTGCCCCCTGGTGGCCGCCGGCTGCACGTCGCCCGGCGCTCCTCCTCCCGGACAGGATTTGTGGCGACTGAGCATCGCTCTTGACTCCTTCGTCCACTCGACTCACTGGTTGGTCCCGAACCGCTCGGCTTGCGGAGCGCCTGCGGGCCTCCCGAGCTGTGCTGCGCGCTGGCAGCCACGTGGCTCTGAGCACTGGCAACGAGCGAGTGCAAACTGAGATGCACAGCGAGTGCAGAAAACACACTGTGGGGGGTGGGGAGGGTCCAAGACACTATCCTCCAAAGTACAATATGATATTTAAGGAGTTTATAATGGTTCCACATTGAGATGATAATATTTTCAAAAAATGATGTTAAATACTATATGATTAAAATATAATGTGGCTGCTGGAAAACTTAAAATTTCCGTTTGTGGGTTGAATCCTGTCTCTTTCTGTTGGATAGTAATGTTCTTGACCATTGGTTCCCAGGCTTTGGGATTTCAAGGACAAGCGGAAGTCCCCCAAGTGTGGCTACTAGCTTTCTACTTTGCTAAGTGACGGTGTGTTTAAAAAGTAGTACCACTGCCTTTTTCTGTGAAGACAGGCATTCTGATACCAGAAAGGCAGGAAGGCATGGTCAGGATAGAGGGCCCACATCCCTTTGATGGATTTTCTCGTCAGGCCCAGAGTGAGGGGCGAGCTTTCTGAGGAGTCCCTCTTGTGAATGCACACGCCGTCTTCCCCTCTCCCTTCTCGGTGTCCACACGGCCCGCAGCCCTGTACCTGCAGCTGCCCTGCGAGGCGCTGTGGGCCCGGCAAAGGTGAGGAGGCAGGGGACTCGGAGGATGCCGACCCCTGGTCTGTGGATGCCACCTAGTCCTCAGAGCCGTGAGGGGCAGGTGCGCCCTCCACCGTGCAGAGTGGAGACCTGGGCAGCTGCAATCATTCTCCAGAAGAAAGGGCAGGCTCCAGACCTAGATCTGGACTCTGGGATCCCATCACTGTCTCCTGATCCCTGCCTCCTGCCCTGCTCTGCTCAGAGATGAAGAGAAACATGCAAGGGAAGGCCACTTGCCCAGGCCCACATCCACAGGCTCACGGGCCAAGTTCCTGGTCAAGGGTATGGTTTGGGCTCAGTTTTTTGTTTTTTGTTTTTTTTACTGCAACATAAACTACGTTCAAAGCATAAATGTCAGAAGAGAGAGTTGCATAAAAGGAAATAAAGACATGCAGTGACGTCATACGAAGGACGGCCACTGTTAGCAGTAAGATGTCTCTTTCCTACCCTGCCCCTCTAACACGCATCCATCTATTTTTCAAAACTGTAATTATTCTCTAATTATTTTAAAATTACTTATTTCATTTTGCTTGGGTTAACATCTTTCCATGTCCTTGGATATTATTGTCAGCAAAGTCTTAATGGTAGCATTACATCCCTTTCCATGTTCAGTCTCAACCATGGTTATAAAATTTTTCAAAAGTCTTAAATGTATTATGTATACATGTATTTATTTATTGTTTTGTTCTGGCAGGAGGTAATTAGGTTTATTTATTTATTTTTTTGATGGAGGTACTGGGGATTGAACCTAGGACCTCATGCATGCTAAGCATGCATTCTACCATTTGAGCCGTACCCTCTTCCCTCCAGATCTTACCTTTAAATACAGTATTGTCTTGATGTTTCCGCTACGTCAGTTTTGGAGTGAATATGTGAGTCTTTCCTAACATCACTTTTTAAGATCCATCTCTGCTTATCATAAGCCATGTGAAAGTGGTGTCATGTTTTATTCTCATGTCTTATTACATTCAACATATACTACTTTTTCATGAATTTATTGACCATTTGTATTTCTTCTTTGCACAACTGCTATATGTGTACTTTTCTTCAGTTTTCCCGAAGTTTGGCAATATTACAACTGATTTGTAAGAACACTGTATGTGAATATAAAAACTTCCTACATATGTCAGGATTTTTTCTTTCATCATTTCCCATACAATTTCATTTGTGGGGTTTTGTGGGAGGGGATGGGAAATTTTTGCTTTTTATGTAGTTATAGACATATATATAATATAAATGTATACATTTTGTGTATATGTTATATACATACACACAATGTATAAATGAGATGAGGCATTTATGTTTTGTGTATATAAGTACACTTTTCTGTTATATTTTGTGCCTTGCTCTTATGTTTAAAAAATTTTTCTCACAACATTGTAAAATGATTATAAATCAATAAAAAATGTTAAGAATTAAAAAAATTTTTTTCCACTGCCAAGACAATAAAAATATTCAGATATATATTATTTAATGGCTTCCGTTTACATTTAAAACTTCAATCAAACTATATTAATTTTAGGATGTGGTGTGAAATAGGAGCAACCTTTTCCCAGATACCTGGCAATCTATCCTCAGAACATTTATTGAGAAAGCAGTAATTCTTTGTCACTGCATTTATCCTATTTCATATCCTTATAATAGGATCCTGCTCTGGGGCTTCCTAATTTGTTTTGTTGGTTTGTTCTTCATATTTGAAATCTGTCATAGTTTAAAAGTTTTATGAGCATTATCTCTTGGCAGACAACTGCCCTTGCAATTAAAAATAAGTTACTGTAAAAAAACAAATTACCGGATTGAGTCTTTGAATAACCAAGAACACTTTATGATCTTGCTCTAAAATTATATGTGACAAAATGGTTGGAATTCTGAAGACCAGTACCTGGCAATCTCCCTAAGAGCTCTGTCTGGCCTGCTTTGTGTTTGCCATGTTGATAATCCTGGCTCTCCCCTTGTTCTAGAAACTGAGGTTGAGCTAAGACATTCATTAGGAGGGGCCCTGAGAGGGTAGAGTTGGCAGAAGAGCCTTCCAGAAGCTTGAGGATGACACCATTCTCCCCATCCCTCTCTGGGGCAGGAGTGGTGTCTGCACACGTGTCCCATGAAGTTGAGAGTCTGAGACTCGAGTCACTTATTTTCTGGAGACTTCTGAAGGCAGGGCAGGGGGAGAGCTGCAGCCAAGTGCAAGGAGGCAGGGAAGAGAGCTCTGTAGAGAGGAGGGGGGCCCCTTGCATTGGAGTCTGGCATCTCTTGCAGGGCACAGAAGCGGCCGTGGTACCCTATGGCTTAAAACAATGAAATACAAGGTGCAGCAAATGAGACAGAGGCTGTTGCCCCAGAATGAGAGAAGGGTCCCCAACCTGAAGGAAGAGCTGGAGGCACCTAGGACTCAGAGGAGCCAGTGGGCCACGGCTGCTCCCCTGTGGTGAAGGAGCCCCGCCTGAGACAGGTCAGTCCCCAAACTATGCACAGCCATCCAGCAAGCACCCCCCCCCAGAATGAGATGCAGGCAACTCCCATCTTCTAAAAGCATCCATGACAGAGAAGGGGCCACCAGGCAGTAACCAGAATCCACCCTCCCTGTGGCCACACCACCGCTGGGCTGTGTGGCTGAGAGACCGCATGATGGGGTCAGCATCTGTATGAGAAAGATAGATGGCAGAGGGTGGTGGGTGGAGGTATAGCTCAGCAGTAGAGCGCCTGCTCAGCATGCGCAAGGTGGTGGTTTCAATTCTTACTGCCTCCATTAAAGTAAGTAAATAAATAAAAGCTAATTACCTCCCCCTTCTCGAGAAAAAAAAAAAATGTAGATGGAATGAGAGAACACTTTACCCTCCACAGACACACTATCCTTCTTGGAAAAGGAATGCTTCCTGACTAGGAGGCCAGCCTTAGCAAAACAAGACTGAGACCTTACAAAAACGGAAAACTGCGGACTAATACCTCTCAGGAGCATTAATGAAAAAAATCCTCGATAAAAGATTTGCAAGTCAAATCCAACAATGTATAAAAAGAATGATGTACCGAAACCCGACGGGATTTGTTCCAGGCACGCAAGGCTAGGTCAACATTCAAAACTCATTTAGTGGAATCCAGGGGGAGGGCATAGCTCAAGTGGTAGAGTGTGTGCTTAGCATTCATGAGCTCCTAGGTTCAAACCCCAGTACCTCCACTGAAAAAATAAATAAATCTAATTACCTCCCCCTCCAAAAAAATTGAAAAAAAAATCATTTAATGGAATGCATCACATCAAGAGGTTGGAGAAGAAAAAAAATCGCAGGATCATATTACTATCAAGCCACGAAAAGACATGGAGGAAACTTAAATGCACAAGTACTAAGTAAAAGGAGCCAATCTGAAGGCTCTATACTGTATGATTCCAACTATAGAACGTTCTAGAAGAGGCAAAACTCTGGAGGAAGGAAGGTCAGCGATCGCCATGGGTTCAGGATGGGGAGGGATGAGCAGGTGGAGCACATAGGCTTTCAGGCAGGTGAATCTATTCTGTATGCAGATATCCCCCACTTTTTGAAAGTTTGCTATACCTTACTTCGCTTTTCGGGAAGACCTACTTTAGTATCTGTTTTCGCTAACCAAAAGAAGTCAGAAGCGGATTTTCACTTTTACGAAAAGAAGACAAAAAGCGACAGTAGCGTTCAGCATTGGTTTTGCAGGGAGCTGTTACAGAGGCGGGTCACAGCCCGGACAGTGGGTGGCATCGCCAAGCTCCTCCCCTGGGACTGCGCTCGGCATTTCAGCATCAAGTCGCCATAGCTTTGGACCGTATCTGTGAGCATCCATGCTTTATATGCATTTGACAAAACCCACAGAATCATAAGAAACAAAGAGTAAATCTTGGTGTAAACTATGAACTTTACTTTATAATAATTTATCAATATTAGCTCATCAGCTGTAACAAATTTACCACACTAATGCAAGACGTTAACAGGAGAAACCGTTTTGGGGGGAGGGAGGAGGATCAGAACTCTGCACTCTCTACTCAATACCTATGTACTTAAACACAAAGTCCATTCATTTAAAAATTTTGTGTTCTTAACCCCAATCTATGAGAGCACTTACCTTCCAACAGCTTTACCAATAGGATGCATTGTCATATACTTTCAATTTTTTAATTCATTTTTTAATTGAA